CCACCCCTATGGTCCCGATCCGCTCCCCTTCCTCCTTCCCTTTCTTTTCCCTCTCTGTAACTCATTTCCAGATATTCCTCCCTGGGCACTGGAGCCCGCTTTGGTGCAGGTATCAGAAACACCTGGGAATTTCCACCCATGGTGTTCTTTAGCCAGGAACTGGGGATCTGGATACGTGGGGACATGTGGAACGCTGGGTCACCTCCAGCGTCCTGCAGGATTTGAAGCCTTCGGCTGTGACTTTATGTCAGAAGTCCCTTGTCTGAGCCCCTGCTCTCCCCGCCACCTCTGTGGCTTCTGGGAAGCACTTCATTTATGGGTCCTTATTTCTGGGACGACTCCTAGGGAACCCAAGCCAACACACGGGCTTTATTATTTTTCAGCCATTTACCATTACTTGAAATGATGACGATGATGTCTCTGTTTTTTGTGAGCCTCCGCTAGGATACAAGCTCCCGAAGCAGCACCTCGATCTGCTTTATGCTCCCCTGCTCTCCCGTGTCCAGAGAGGCGTCTGCCTCGTGGTAGTAGGTACTCAAAAAGGTATTTGGTTGAAGGGACTTCCTCATTCTCACCACGAGGCTGTGAAGAAAAATGGCCACCCCTATTTATCTACAAAGAAGCCATGACAGTTAATCTCAACTCTTGACTTGGTGAGACCTGGAATCACCTGGGAGCAGGCCTCTGGCATGCCTGTCGGGGAGGGGGAGTTATCTTGATTGGGTTAATTGAGGTGGAAAGGCTCACCCTCTATGGGTGGCACCATTCCCTGGGCTAAAGGAGAAAGCTGGCTGAGTACAGGCATTCATTGCTCACTTCTTTCTTCCTTTTTAAAAAAGATTTACTTATTTGTTTGTTTGTTTATTATATGCAGCATTCTGCCTACATGTATGTCTACATACCAGAAGAGGGCGCCAGATCTCATTACAGATGGTTGTGAGCCACCATGTGGTTGCCGGGAATTGACTCAGGAGCAGCCAGGGCTCTTAACCTCGGAGCCATCTCTCCGTTCCCCATTGCTCGCCTCTTCCTGACTGCAAGTGTCCGTCTACCTCAAACTCTTGCTGACTTGACGTCTCCATCCTGGGAGACTAGACCTCCAATGAGCCCAAATAAAGCCCTGGATCCTCAGTTGCTTTTGTCAGAGGGTTTTTGTCTCGGCAACAAAAAGGTAATTAAGACAGAAGCATTTTCAAAGTCGTTTAACAACGTGTCCAGGCCGCCGCACGCAGACTGCACTTACCCGCTTCCCTGCGTCTGCAAACCAAAGCGCAGGCTTTAAAACCCAATCCCATGTTGTCAATTTCCAGAAGATTCCCCACCTCCTCAGGGCTTCTGAAGTGGCTTCTTTTGTGAAGGAAAACTACCAGTATTTATGTAGTTTTGTGCTTAGAGTGTTGTAAAGATTGAATGAATTAGTGTAGCACTTAGGCGAGTCCCAGGACCCCGTATACCGTCTGTCAAATGAATTCCCTTCTAGCCAAATCTGTCTCCATTTCTGCCCCCTTGTCACTCATGTCCTCTCATGCCTGGGTACCTTTGTCCACACTGTCCCTTCCTGGAATATATTCTCTTCACTGTTTTCTCTGGGAAATTTATTTATTTATTTATTTATTTTGAGACAGGGTTTCTCTGTGTAGTTTTGGTGCCTGTCCTGGATCTCACTCTGTAGACCAGGCTGGCCTTGAACTCACAGAGATTTGCCTGGCTCTGCCTCCCGAGTGCTGGGATTAAAGGCGAGCGCCGCCGCCGCCGCCGCCGCCGCCGCCGCCGCCACCACCACCACCACCACCACCACCACCGCCCGGCTTCTCTGGGAAATTTTTAATCATTCTTCAAGTCTCCTCTGAGGGCTGCATCTTTGTCCCTGAGGACCGGGGTTCTCCCAGGATGCCCCGGGGCCTCTCTCCCACAGCCCCTGGATTGGTGATGGAGACAACATTCCTACTGTGCTGGGGCTGTCTGCTGATGGCCCTGCTCCCAAGTCATTTAGCTAACTCTCAATGCAAATGGATCCTGGTAAAGATCCAATATTGTAGAGGCATAAATTTTTCCAAAATTTATCTATATTCAGTAAAAAAAAAAAAAACAATAAAAAACTTAACAAGAGTTCTAAAAATGTAATTTTATAAGCTACTACTAAAAGTCATCTAGAGGGGGGAAATGGATAAGAATAGCCAAGCAAGTTTTGACACAGAACAATGAGGATGAAATGGCTCTTTTAAAACATTTACTATGAAGTGATTAATACAGATTGGTCTTTGTTTATGAACAGGTGATCTACTCAATGGGACCAAGAAAGAGACAGATTCATGGAAGTGTGGTGTGTGCTAAAGGGGCATTTTTGTCTTGTTATTTTTGAGATAGGATCTTGCTATGTGGCCCAAAATGACCTTGATCTAGTGAGGATCCAGTGAGGATCCCTCTGCCTCAGTCTCTTGAGTACTGACTGGGATTACAGATGTGCAGCACCACATCTGGCCTAAATCAGTAAGAAAACACTGTTCATGAAACATTCAGGGACAACAGAGTTCCCATTCGGGAAAAACCAAGTTACGATTGGTGGTGCCTTTACTTTATGCGTCTGCAAAGAGAATTCATTCTAGCTATTTCAACCAGCAAGGGATTTGAGGGAGGTATGTGCTATGGCTTGAATATCGTTTGTCCCCTCTGAAAGTCATATTGAAATATGACTGCCTTTGTGGCAGAGGTTGAAGGTAAGGTTTTTGAAAGAAGATGAGGTCATTAGGAGAGATTGATGTCTTACTCAAGGGAGTGAGTTCTCAGTCTCCAGGAACTGACTCAGCCACCAAGAGGGCTGTTACAAAGCAGGACTGCCCTGTGTGATTTCCCTTCCCTGTATGCACCTGATTCCCTTTTTGAATTCTACTATAGAATGAAGTGTCATGGGGCCCCCTCTGGATGCTGGCACCACGAGCTAGGACTTGCCAGTCTCCAGAAGCACAAACTAAAGAAACCTCTTCTTTTTGTACAAATCACCACCGCAGGTATTCTGTTACAGCAACGGGAAATGAAGATGCATGCAAGAATCATAGAGAGTGTTGAAAAGAAAGTGTTCAGGTTGAGCTTACAGAACAATTTCCACAGCTGCGGTACAGAGCCAAGTCACTACAGAAGACGGTGTCTCTGCCATGGTCTGGAAGCTTTCAGAAAGTAGGAAGTTTGGGTCGTGGACTCTGTTCTATTACTGCATCTCTTTGAGGATCCAGGCTAGGCAAATGGATGCTCTATTGCTTTCATTCCCTCATAACTCAAAGCTTCAGGTGATGCATCTGCTGAGGGATGTAGGAAGCAGATACCAAGAAAGAGAGAGTGAGCCAGGAGGCAAATGATTTTCAGGATAAAGAGAAGAGGAAGCAGTAACAGCAGGGAACGCTTTCCGAGCTTGATCAGGTTCTGACCATGCAAAAAGAAAAAGGAGAAAGGAAGAGAAGTTGCTAGAATAAAGCTGCAAACTGGTGAGGCTGTAGAGAGAGTCTGGGCCATTGCAAAGGTTGCTCATAGAAGAACTCCATCTAGGAAGGAGTGGCCAAGCTCTAGCTCCCTCTGCATGCTCAGTCATTGGCCCTAAAGCCATCCCAAAGCTGTTCAGGATGAACATAAAAGAAGGACATAGAGAAAAATTTAGGCAATCTTGGGTTTGATGATGACATTCTAGATATAACTTTTCCAAAGATAATCCAGAAAAGGAAAAGTTGCTAAGATGAACTCCATCAAAATCAAAATTGAGCCAGGTGGTGGTGGTGCACGCCTTTAATCCCAGCACTCGGGAGGCAGAGGCAGGCGGATTTCTGTGAGTTCGAGGCCAACCCAGGCTACAGAGTGAGTTCCAGGACAGGCACAAAGTTTCACAGAGAAACCCTGTCTCGAAACAACAACAACAACAAAAACAAATCAAAATTGTCTACCCTGTGAAGGACATTGTTGTAAAAATGACAATGCAAGGCATGGGTGGGAGAAAAGGTGAAACTCATGCATGATTATAAAAATGAAACACTTCCATCCAAAACACACAACTGAGTCTTGAAATCCAATTTAAAAATAGTCAATAGATCTGAGCAAACCTGTAACAAAAGGAAACGCACAGGACAAGGAAGCATGTGGAAAGTTAGGCAACGACATCTCCGGGGAGGAATTACAAACCAGAGCAACTATGGGACGCCACTGCACACGTCATCGGACATGGCTGAAACCCTCAGCACTGACAGCATCAAATGCTGGTGAGGAAGTGGAACAAGAGCTCTCCTCCGTAGCCGGGGAGGATCCAAATGGGACAGCCACTTTCTAAGGCAGTTTGGCACTTTTCTTACAAACCTAAACACAGTCCCACCATATGCTCCAACAATTATGCTCTTAGGTATTTGCCAAAATGAGCTGAAAAACGTTGTCCACACATACACACGCACACACACACACAAAAAAACTGTATGCAAATGTTTATAGCAGCTTTGTTCATAATTGCTAGCAACTGGAAGCAACCAAGACGTTCTTCAGTAGGTGAATGGCAAACTGCGGTATCTAAGAACAATGGGATATTTTCATCAATGGAAAAATAAAAGAGCTATCAAACCCCAAGAAGCCACGGAGGGAATTCAAGTGTATATTGTTCAGTGGAAGGAAGTCAGTCTGAATGTCTGTATTCTGACCATATATGACATTGTGGAAAGGGTAGAATTATAGATATGCTTAAAAAAAAAAAGATTGATGGGTTCTAATGGTTCAGGGGAGAATGGGAGAGATGAATAAACAAATTCAGGGCATTTTTTAAGGTGACAAAATGATTCCACATGATACTACAAGTAGAGGATAAATGGCATTATATATTTGTCAACAGCCATAGAATTATACAACCCAGAGACAAAACCTTCATGTAAACTATGGATTTTACTTAATAACGATGTTTCAATACTTGACAATCAGTTTGTAATAAATGTACTATTCTAATACAAGATATTACTGTAAAAAAAAAAAACCTGGATGTTCAGGGCTGCGGCCTCAGAGGATATAGGGGAACTGCGCTTTCTTTTGCAACTTCCCATATGCCATGTACTCTAATCTTTGATTTAAGATCAAAGGTTGTTTTGTTTTTGTTTTAGACAAGGATTCTCTGTATATCCATGGCTGTCCTGGAATTCACTGTGTAGACCAGGCTAGCCTTAAACTCACAGAGATCTGCCTGTGCTTGGGACCACATGTATTTCCCAAGTGCTGGGATTAGAGGTGTGTGCTACCATGCCCAGCTGTCTATTGACATTTAAATAATTAATATATTTGAAGAAAAATTGGAAGCAAATGTAATAGGCAGTAGTGATGTAACTTCCCAGCTTTCTTAGGATACTTCTAGATCAGGCTTATTTTCTCAGTGTCCCATCTGGACTAGTATTTGTCACTCTTAAAGTATAGTAAGTGGATAATGATTTACATGGTCACCATAGACAAAGGGCTATTATTGAGAAATAATACCTGTAAATCAGTAGAAGAAATAATTCAGCAGAACAGCAGCAGTTTACAGGAATAAGGTGCACTTTTAGACTATTTACAACTATATTTAAAGTGGATTTCTTGTAGGAAGTGTTTAGTTGGACTGTGGTTTAAAGAAAATAAATTCCATCTTGACCATGCATGCCTTTTAATTGGAGTGTTTAAATAATTCCGTGTTTAATTTTTTATTTCAGTATTGGGAATGGTTCTATTAACATCATTTGAAGCAGATTCCAAGCAAGGAGTATTTCGAAGGATAAAGGAATCCATTTCCCAGAATCAGTTCAAGGGGGCTGGGTGGCACCTAAGGCACGTGTGTCTAAGGAGGCTTCAAATGACATGAAGCCAAAAGAGAAATAGACAAACAGGTCATCAGAGTTGAGACTTAATCATCTTGTCCGTAGGTCATAATTTTCTGTTCTTGTTATGTGGCCTTTTCATCGACTCCGTTAAGTGCCTAACGAACCAAAGGTTCCTTTAAGACTAGTCCTTCATCTCTAGTTTCTCTGATGGGAGACGGTAGGATGTCTGTGTTGACATTGGACTTCACTTTTATCTGTGAGCTCCTTGGCAGCAGGAGTTCCTTTCCTTGGGAACCAGTGAGTGCCTTGAGTTATCAGGGCCTCCTTAGGTGATTTCACTACTGCCGACCTCGACTCTCTTTGGAGGGGATCGACTTTCTGACAGTTCCTGCGTTTGCTTCATTTTTGGCTACCTAGAAATTTTCTATTCCTTGCTTTTGAGCTTCCGTTATATAACATTTTGCTGTTCGGGAACAGTCTGAGAGATTCCCGTGTCTGATTTGATTTAGGTTTTGATTAGACATCTTAATAGGTCTCCCACAACACAACCTTGACGTCAGCCTCCACCCTTCCTCTCTGCTTGTCCTGGAACTATAACATTATAATAAGTTGTTCTTTTTTTAACTAGGGGAAGAAATGGCATTGCCTCCCTGGTGGAGTCTAAACTTTGCTTGCAGGAGATACCCTTTTGTTTTGGAATTCACCACTTGACCCCTATGTTCCATCAATAGGAAACAACCCCCACCCCCAACCCCCAGTGCCCGTCTTGGTGAGTATGGGAAAACACCGAGGGAGCCCTAGAGAGATTTCTAACTCTGAGATGTGAATACCCTTTAGCAAAAGACGTCTGGAATGACTTAAATGATGCCTCTGGGGACGGTTTACTTAGAACACTACCAATGTCCTAATTTGGAGTCACATTATCTTATGCTTGTGGTTCGTGTGTTATAGATAATACTCTGTGAACCAGAGTTGTTTGTACAAGGGGTAGGGCAGAATGTAGAAGGAAATGTTCACTGTTTCAGATGAGGCAGAAGCTGCCCAGGGCAGTACATCCTAGACCTGGGAGTAGGTGTCTCACCTGAGGAGATCTTTTAACCTGGCTCCCCAGCTCCAGGGGAGTCCCCCGTGGGTATCTTTTTGATATGTCTATTATTGGTAATTCAGGGAGGAGGCCGTTTCTGGGACAGGTCTTGGATCTGGGAGGGGGGAAACAGTTCTTGAGGCTGCCATGAGATTAGGCTTGCTCAGCCCTGGACTCTAGCGACAGGAGGCTGGGACAGGCCCAGTGGCAGGAGGAATAACACCCCTGAGGTAGGGTAGAGCTTGGGAAGGACTTCAAAATCAGCTCTGGGCCACCTCTGGGAGCAGCGGTTAGCGGTGCTGGATGGGCATTTCCTCTGTTCCCGTGGGTTTTCAGGCAGTTATTTTGTTTCTGGCTACGTTGCTGAGGATTAGGGGGAAATCGGGTCCCTGCTTTGAGAGGAGGAAGTCGGGGACTGACCAGCTCTGGTAGAAAGGACTCAGGAGAGAATGAGTGAGTAAGAATGGTGGGTAAGGCTGAGCAGGGAGCAGGCCAGAACACAGACTTCTCTGCAGGGCATTGTATGGAACTAGCCCTTATCTCCTGGGCCATCGGCAGCTATGGAAAGATACCAAGAAGGAGGATGGTGTGATTAAACTTGGTGCTACCCAAAAAGAAAACAACAGATTCTCTCAACATTCATAGATGGCTGTGGGGAGCATCTGCTGGTTCTGTCTGCCTGGCTCCGCTTCTGCCCTCCCTGTGTTGATACAACCTTCTAGATGGCATCTAATGAACGTGCTGTAGGTGGATCAGGGGGTGTGCTCATACCCAGTCCAGGTCAATGTGGCACCTGACTTGGCTATGGGAGTTGTTTGGGAGACAGGACTAGTTTTCAAGTTTGAGTCAACTGGTTGGGCCTACGACTCTCCCAACAGACGGGTTAGGGAAGACTATCTTCTTCTGATGGGGTCTCTAAATAGACTATGAATCCAGGGCTGCTGATGACTAAGAAGGCTTCCTGCCACGTGAGGAGAAAATATTTGAGAGATGGCATGAGTCAGAGCCCCGAGGATGTAGTTTGGGGTACAGCTATGGATCACATAAGTGGAGGCAGGCCACTGGAGAAGAGAACCTCGATGATGCCGGCAAAATGCTGGATTCAGCCATTCTCGAGGCTAATTCAAGCCGCCCCTTAGCATGAGTCAATAGCATTTTTCTTGCTGAATCTACTTTGTCTCATTTCCTCCTGTGCCAGGGAAAGTCCTCAGCAACAGTTGTGAGCCCGACTTCCTCTGTCCTTCTCCAGACTGGATAGCCCTGGTTCATCTTATATGTAAACTGGTTTCCAGAGCTTCTCTATCCAGGCCATCCTCCTCTGGGGATACTAGCTTCCTGGGGAAACATTCCTCAGGACGGAGTACAAGGAAGTACATGATGCGGAAGACTGTTAACCCGGCAGTCTGTTGAAGGGCCTCCATCACGGGTTCTGTACGAGTTAAAGTACTCACACTTCTGTGGAGAACAACACACTTTGATTTGGCCACAGCGGGCACTAAGGTCAGCACCTGGACCAGTCTCGGTTTCTAGGCGAGAGAGAAAGGAACGCGTCCTTCTGTATAGTCAAGAAGTTCCCAGGACTGCCTGCCCTGAAATACAGATGAAGCCACTCAGTCATCTTAATTGGTGGTTAATGGGCCAATCCATAATTTAAAAGTAGTTTTAAGAAAGAGCAGAGGGAAGTGGGGAAACATGGAGCCGGGGCTATCTATATCATATAGGAAGAGGTATGTGGGCACATATGTGGGCACATGTGCGTGCGTACGTGTGTGTGCGTGTGCGTGTGTGTGTGTGTGTGTGTGTGTGTGTGTGTGTGTGTGTAACAGAGAATGTCAATCCCACTCCCCTTTCTATCTTTCAAAGATTCCTGTAGTTGTCTTGGATAACATGACTACAGCCAAAGCCTTCCCAGCAGACCTGAATTTAGACCCCTAAAGGATGGACCTCCTCAAGGCCCCATGATGCCTGCAATGGGATTTCATGAGTTCTGCTTTGTCTGTCTTCTTCCTGGCCAGTCAGCGAATTACACACAAAATTAAAACCTGAATGCCTGGCAGGACCATCCTGCCTTTCTGTGTGTGAGAGAAAATAGATCAAGCCCTCAACCCACAGGAAATCTAGGGCTGCCTGCAGTACCTCTGGGGATTTGATTCCAATCCCATCTTCTCTGATATCACGCTTCCCCCTCCCTCCCTCTCTCCCTCCCCACCTCCCTCCTTTCCTCCCCTTCTCCTCTCCTTCTCTTTGCTCTCTCCTTGCCAGGATTATTTTCTCTTTGTTTTGTATCAAGACAAATGTAAAGTATAGATCTCTGTCACTGATTTCCTTCAAGGTAGCAGCAGAAGGCATCTGGAACATATTTTCTCCACATATAACTGGGGAAATCGTGTGGCATCTTAGCAGAAAAATACACCAAATACCAGCCATCCCTTGCATATAGGTCACGTCTGCATCCCCTCACTAGCCAGCTCACGTCTTTGAGCCCCAGCCTCCAATAGGTTTCTGTCTCCCCCCCACTACAAACTCCCTTGCCTCTCTATGAGTGCCCCCATGGAGTACTTCAGCCTTGCCCCAGCTTGCCTCTGGGCCATGTTCAGAAACCCAGATAGGACCAGCTTTGAAATTACTTTTTCCTTTAATGTAATCATTATTATCATTAATCCCAGCTCCTTCTCCTACTAGTGTCTACATGCATGTTGAGGTCAGCTGTCTCTTTGGCGTGAGTTACTTCCAGATGAGGGACAGAAGCCCAGATTGGGGGAGGGTTGCCCATCTCTTGAAATGAACTTAGAGTGCAGCCAGCCACGGCTTCTTGGAGGGCAGAATTAGCTACAACAGTCCTGACGGTTGCTTAAGTGGTACCTGTTTCTTTCTTGCTGCTCAAGGTTGACTGTAGCCTGGAGCTATTTCCCCAGCGCCACCTGGCCAGGTGACACATGTCCCACCCTGTCCCCATCATCTCACTTGTCAGCATGCCCCTAGTCCCACTCTGTCTCTCCAGTTCCAGAGCCTTCCGCAACAGCCATGTTCTCATCTGCCAGTTCCTGCTGCCTCCCAAGCTGAAGGAAGAGCCATGGCCTTGAACCACAGGGGAGCTGCTTTTCTCCCTCCTCGAGATCCCAGAGCCCTCGACTCACCTGGGTCAGTCTCTCTCATACCACTCTGTGTGGCTAAGGGTGTCACAGTCAGCAATCCAGACCCATGGTCATCAGCCTTAGCATCTGATGGAACACCAGCTGTTGGGAAGATCTGGGGAAACGTTCCCTTGGTTTACCCTGAGCTCTGTTATGTCCCAGGAAGGAGTCGGACTGGAGTTTGGACTGGAGTTTGGACTGCCAGGTGGTGTAGAGATGGAAGACTTGGTTCGTCTGCTTCCAGGCTCCTGACCAATGGGCGAGACGCCAGGAGCCCAATCTAGGCCTCTGTCCCCTTTCCTGAAAACCAAGATAGTGGACTAGATGAGGGCCAGAGCTAATCCTGGTCCCGGGAATGAGATGATGCCATCCCTGACAGGAATGTACAAGGTGCCTGGAACGTCAGGGATCCTGTGAGGACAGAGGCGACCCTGGGCCGCTTTCCTCTCTAACCTCCCAACTACGGAGGGGTCTGCTGCCCCAGGAACTTCAACGTGCTGGAGTCTGAGGAACTGGAGAGACTACTGAAGCCAGGATGCAGTGGGTGAGGAAGAATTACTCAGGATGAGGCTGAAGAGGTGTGGAGAGAAGCCTCAAAGGCCATTTGGAGACGTCAGTGTTTATTCTAAGGACGACAGAAATCATGAGGAGGTTTTCGTGGCTGAGAAAAGCTTCTCATTCACCCACCAATACAAGCTTCAGGAACCTTCTCTCTTAGAAGTATTTCCCACTCACCTCGACTGCTCCATCTCCCAGAGGCCTTTGGGCCAACTTCTGCTTCCAGGCTTTGCTGGCCAGGTCTGGTACTTCCTTTAGTTGGGTTTGCCTGGCTAGGGGTTGGCATTCTTTGGCAAATGAGGCAGAGATGGGATCACGAGAGACAGAGAAAGGGGTAGAGTAACAAATAAGAGCTTGGCGCAAGGGGTTTGAGGGGACGTTTGTTAAACGAAATGTAAATCCTTGATCTGGTGGCTGCCAAGAAGAGAGAGGTAGCTGATGAAAACCATATGTCCCCGAGTAAGTGACGAGGAGCCCTGCTCGGTGCACGCGCAAGTTGAAGATGTTGCTGTCGGTCTCCCATGCAATGGAAAAATCTCCTGTTTTAAAGAATACAGTGTTAAGAGGCACTCTGAGACAAATGACATTTCGCAATTAAGTCGTTTACAAGGTCAGTAAAGGAAGGAGAAAATAAACCAGCCAAAAGGTCTTGCTCAACGAGAAAAAAAAATGTTTGAAAGTTCAACGGTGTGCTCTCAAACCGTAACATGGGCTCTTTCTATAGTTTGGTTTAAAACAAAACAAAACAAAACAAAAAAAAAAAACAAAAAACAAAAAAAAAAAACACCACCACCACCAACAACAAAAAAACCCCAAAGACAAATCTCTGCAGGGATGGAGAAACAGTTGGAAGTGACCGGAGTGGGTGAGGGCTGAAGAGACAGCGCAGTGCTTAAGAGGACTAGCTGCTCTTGCAGAGGAACCAGGTTTGGTTCCCAGAAAAAAAAAAACACCTGTTAAACCCAGTTTCGGGGACCCAGCTCTCTTTTCCAGCCTCCATGGGCACCTTCATCCATGTCCATGTGCATGTGGTCTCGTGTGTCCGCAAGTGTGTGTGTGTGCACACTCACACACACAGACACACACACACACACACACACAGACACACACACACACACACAGACACGTGCACTTAAAAATGCAAAAATAAATCCTAAAAATCTCTCTCTTAAAAACAAAAGTGACTGACATACTTGAGTGGATACCTGCAGCTTCTGATATTTTAGAACAGTTTTGATTTTTTTTTTTAAAATGAAAACTATCAGTTTTTAAAACTTGCTTTAAGTCGACCTTGAAACAAACTAAAACAAAGCAGAGAAACATCTCTACTGTAGACCCTCAGTCTGAGGAAGAAAATTCTGATCTCTTCATCTGACATCCGAGTTCTGGCATGGCAGGGGATCTGCCTGGAGTTTTCGATACAAGATCCTGTCACTGGCCCTGCCTCCCCATCTGCCATCCATTCTGTTTGCAGGCTGGACCTGTTGGGCATCATAGTTACCTACTTTTCCCCTGGGATGCCCTTCCTCCTAACTACAGAGAAACACTGTTAGCTTTTTGTGGGAGTGGGGAACGGGGTGCTGGGTTTCGATCCCAGGACCTCATGCAGGCTAGGCAAGCCCTCTGACATGGAGCCATACCCTCAGCCCTTGTTAGCCATTTTAAAAAGATACAAGTTTCCAAATTCTATGAATTATATCATCATTTCCACCTGCTCCTTTTGATTCCAGTTCCCTGTGAAATTCTGCACCTCGTCATCTATTTTCTTAACCGTATTAATCACAGCTATTTTAAAAGTCTAGATCAGAAAAGCCCAAGATCTGGATCCCCCGTGGGGCGTTTCTATTATGGAGATGCTCTGGGCTCTGACTGATGTTACCTCTCATCACAGAGGATTTATTTTTGCCTTCCTGAAGGCCATCCTGTCCGTCAGGAAAAGCGGAAGGTCACCCTAATCCAGCCTGGGATGGGGCTGTTATGATGCTGGCGGTCAGCCTGTGGGGGCTGTTCTATTTCTGGCTCACCCCCCCTCCCCCCGCTGCCTAACCTCTCTGGGGTTCTAGGTGCAAGCCTGCTTGTTCGTTAAGGCCCTTCCACTTAGGTGGGTTACCAAGTCCAAGAGCGTCTTCCAAGGCTCACGCAGCTGTTGATTCTTGTGTCGGGTTCCCCACCTCTCAATCGCGGGCCACTACATGCTAGGAGGCTGCCCCGAGCACTAACTCTGGTGTGCTTCTTTTCTCCCAGAGATCCTGGCCCTCAGATCGTCTTGTAGTCTGACCTTCACACTTACTTCCCTGTCTTAGGGGATGGCAGAACCCTCCCAGGAGCCTCTGGCTTTCTGCTTGCTCTGGGGCTCTGTAACTCCTTGATCTCCGGCTGTTCAAGAATGAAGAGGACTGAGCGTCGCCTCTGCATGCTTCCCCTTTGGAAGACTGACCCCCTCCAGTACTGACAACCTTTAAGTAGATGGCTTTGGATTTTACTTGCAGTGGGAAGGCTGGCCTTTGATGAGCTATTCTGCGATTCCAGAAACTAGGGTACTTGACCCTTAGAACTACAGGTGAGCAGGAACGCTGTCTTTTTCACCCTGGGGTCCCTCGCTGATCTTACCCATAACTTTCAAAGTCACCTATGCCCAGACATTCCCTAATGTCTGTCTATAGCCTGGAGCTCCGTAATGACCTAAATCCTAATATCTCTTCTCGTCGCCACATATCCGCCCCATAGACATCTCGAACAACACATTTAAAATCTTGTTTTCCCGCCCAACTCTTCAGCATTCCCTCCTGGCTGCTATCAGGGTCGGAATCCTGAGGGTCACACGCAGTTCACTCTCCCTCCCCTCCCCAAAGTCCATCCCTCTTGAGTTGTCATATGACGTCACCAAGTCCCGTCCGACATGGACAACCTTGTCCCAACCATGCTGTGGCTTCCTCGGTAGTCTCCTCACACTTCTCCCCAGCCTCATGGCCTCCTTCCAGCACAGTGGCCCGCCACCCTCTGAGGAAGTGAGCCCTTGAAAACAGAAACAAGATTATGTCATTTCTCACCGTGACTCCCTACAATGAGTTCCCATGACTTTTCACAGAAAGCACTGAGGGCCTTTCTGCCCCAACCCGTCTTCTGCCCCTCTCTCCCGGCTCCTCCCTGGACTCATCAACTCCACAGCCTTTGTTCTTCTAGAACCTCCTTTCATTCGGGGGATCCTTTCCACTCGCCCCTCTATCATCAGGGAGCACTTTCCCACATGTCCGCCTCTGCTACTGTTCTCTCAGTTCCAGCTCAATGTCCCCTCCTCAGGGGAGCCTCCCTGAGCCCTGGGTGAGTTATCTCACGGCTGTATTTCTGCCATTCTGTTCCCTGCTCTTTGGCCACAGCACGGGTGAGACTCCATAGATAATTCAGTGATCGTTGATTCAGTTTTTCCCTCGCCGAAGTCTAATTTCCCGAGGCCAACAACTGGGTCTGTCTTGGTCACCACTACCTCCAACACTAGTAAAGTACCCCGGGACACCTTAAAAGAGTCGAAAATAACCTTACAAATAAATTTAATACTAGGCGAGGACAAACAGTCACTACCCCCAAGCCCGAGCCACCTAGAGGAAGTAGGGTAGTGAACCCCCAGTAGAAAGGGTAACTGGGAAGATTGAAGCTAACAAGCATCAGAGTGAGTACACAGGGAGCCAGCTCAGTTGGTAATGATTTCTGAGGTTGTCCTCTGGCCTACACAGACACACACCGGTGGTGGCGGTGGCAGCGGCGGTGGTAGGGGTGGGCAGCGGGGGAGGGGGGGAGTGTGTGAAGGAGGGGGAGAGGTGAAGAATTCACTAGCTAAGACAGTCCTAATGTTGAGGGTGCAACATGAAACAGGAGTCCACAGCACAGAGTTCCAGTCCCAGGCCTGGTACATATCATGACAAACAGCATTTTTTTTGTTTGTTTGTTTTGTTTTTTGAGACAGGGTTTCTCTGTGCAGTTTTGGTGCCTGTCCTGGATCTCACTCTGTAGACCAGGCTGGCCTCGAACTCACAGAGATCCACCTGCCTCTGCCTCCCGAGTGCTGGGATTAAAGACGTGCGCCACCACTGCCGGGTTCACAAGGTATCACCACAGATAGGATCATTATCAGACCAATGCTGTGACATCCAGCAAGTCGCTTTTCAAGGAAAAGGAGACAGCGGACTTCCAGGGCCACTTGGGCTGTTTTTCCTGGGTCTTAGGGAAGCCCCACCTTGGGCCGCAGCCTGCTTCTCTGTAAAGCATAAGTCCTCAAAGGTGTGTCTACGACATTTCCAAATTAACAGCTCAAATTGTTCCAATGAGAGAGTAAGTTTTTGGGGTCCCTTTTCTTGGGAAGTCGCTGCTCCCCCGCTTTCTCGGCACCGTCTAGTGTGGTGTCGTATGAAAGCAAAGTCTGCTGTGGGACTTTTTCTGTAGGTCCTTTGGGACTCGATGCTCCCAGAACTGAGAGACAGGCAGGAGAGAGGACGCCACCGTCAACCCAGGTATGTCCAGCCTCCCATCCCCACCCGGAAGAGCTTGGCCCTCCACCTAGACCTGCCAAAGTCATAGAACTGTCTCTGGAAGCTCCAACCCCCACCGGCTGAAGGTCATCCAGAACCATCACACTGTGATTCTCTACACACAGTTCAAGGAGATTAATTAATTAATTAATTAATTAGAATGCGTGCATGTGCCTGCATGTGTATCTGTGCTCCACATGTGTGCAGTGGTGTCAGATGCCCTGGAAACGGAGTCACAGACAGTGGTGAGCCGCCGCCGTCGCCGGGTGGGTGCCGGGAATGGATCCCAGGTCCTCCACAAGAGCAGCTGGTGCCGTTACCGGCCAAACCCATCACCTCTAGCCCCTCAAGATTCCTCTTTTAAGGGAAGGTTCGAGGGCAGAAATTGAAGAGTTTGTGAGGCAATGCTCAGTCGCCGGGAGAAGGCTTAAGCTCACGTGGACCTGTTCACTGTCACATGGACAGTGCCCGAAACCAGAGTGTGACGCGGGTGTGCAACTCTGAAGTGAGTTGCAAAAGGACAAGGTCAGCCTTGTCCAGGGCCCAAGCACATGTCCCCTATCCCCTGGGCCCAGCCTTTCATGCTTTTTGAATGCCAAGGATACTCACTCTTCTTTTCTGAGGAGATTTTCAGTATCCAGGGCCATTGAAGACAGGGGTGTCTGTCATCCAGGCTAAGAAAAGCATTGGGAAGCACACAGCTGTGGTTCTCCGGGCAGTCCCTGAGTGACAGCAGGCTGGATACTGCTGGGATGGAGTGGCCTGCACCAGGCAAGGCAGTGGAAGCGTCTCTGTGTGGGAGAGCCTTAGCAGCCTTTGTGGTGGGGTGGTCCATCTCCTCCGTCTTCATCTGCCCCGTGTGTGTGTGTGTGTGTGTGTGTGTGTGTGTGTGTGTGTGTGTGCGCGCGCGCAATGTGTTGGAAGGCATGGGCTACTGTGCCAATGTGGAGGTCAGAGCACAGCTTTGTGGGGTTGGTTCTGCTTCTGCCTTTATGTGAGTTCTGAGGATCGAACTCGTGTGCCCAGGCTCACAGAGCAAGGGCCTCCTCACCGCTCAGGCATCTCACCAGCCCTCTATACGCCTTTTCATAAACTCTAGCCTCCGCTTCCTTTAGCCTTCCCTTCCTTCTGATCGTCAAATGTCTGATTTATTTATTTATTTATTTATTTATTTATTTATTTATTTATTTATTTATTTATTTATTTTAAAAAGGGAGGTGGGGACCCAAACATGGGCCACTTATTCCAGTTCCCCGCCACTAGTAATTCTATTTTCCCCAGGCAATAGAATGGGAAAGACTAATAGAAAAATAGTGTCCTAGAGGAAGGTGAGGGGCGGGCGGATCACGAAAGTTTAAATTTCAGGGTATTATCTATCCGCATTGTCCACGCTTAGCCTTCTGGGTAATGTGTGCAGTGCGCTGAGGCCTTGGGTTCCTTTTGGCTCTGGGAAAGCACGGTATCAGGTGCTAGACGGCTGAGCCCTCTACACTCTGTCTCCGGGGTGCCAGGAAACTTCTAGATCCCTGCACATTGGTTGGACCAATGTTTAAGCAGATGTAGGACGGGAGTCTAAATGTTTCTGCCGTGGAAAAGCAGGGGCTGCAGCTTCAGATCCCCAGGGCTCTGGGGATGTTTCCAAGCATCCTGGTCTCCATCTTTGGGTACGTTTGTCCCCAAGACCAGCCCCTCTCCAGGATGGGTTCCCGCAAGCCTGCTACTTGCCAAGGAGGACATCACTAACTTCCAAATCACCAGCAGGGAGGGGTGGGCTGTGGGTGGAGCCCCCTGGGTTAGACGACTGGGCTGAGGACATAGATCTGAATCCTCTCATTTATACATTCTTCAATAATATTTACGGTGGCTTACTTACATTCCAGGCATTGAGTTAGCACTTAAACACACCTTGTCATTTTTAAAATAACAGCTTTAAGGTATAATTGACGCACCATACAATTCACTCCGCTAAAGTATGGAACTTCACAGTTTTCGGGCTATTCTGAGCTGTACCGCCATTTAATTTTAGAACATATTCATCTGCCCATAAAGAGAACTGGTCCTCGCCTGCAGTCAGTCACTCCGATCTCCCTGCCCCTTAGCCTCTGTCAACAACCTGCCTACTTTCCGACTGTAAGGGTTTGTCCACCCGAGATACTTTAAGCAGGGGGGAGCCTTTGGTGACTGTGTTTAATGCATGCTGTTTGCTGAGACCATAGTTCATCCTTCGTAGTGCCAAGTAATATTCTACTTTATAGGTACTCACAGTTAATGGGCTTTGGGCTTGCTTTCACTTCCGGCTCTTGTGGATAACGCTGCTGTGAGCACGGTTATTCTTCTGTTTAAAGCAGCCGTCCTGGTGGGTGTGAAGAGGCGTCTCAGTGTAGTTTTGATTTGCAAGACTACCCTGATGGCTAATGATGTGGAGGCACTTTCCATGGATTGCCAAGACATCCACTTATCTTCTTGGAGAAATGCCGATTCATATCCTTGGCCCATTTTACATTTAATTTAATTTTTGAAGGCTTACTTTATTTTAGAGTGTGTGTGTGTGTACATAAAGGCAGGTGCCCATGGCATCCAGAAGAGGACATCGAATCCCCTAAAAGCTGGGGTTACAGGCTGTTCTGAGCCACTTAATGTGGGTGCTGGGAACAGAACTCAGAGCCTTTGCGAGAGCAGTCAGTTCCCAGGTGCTGGCCAGCTCTCAACTCCGTCACCCACCCCTCTCTCTCTTTTTTTCAGTTGGCTTATTTCTTTGTATTTAAGTTGTGAGAACCTTTTACATAGCCTGGATACCAATCATTTTTCAAAGACTGGGGAATTTGACAAGGCAGGTAAAAATAAATTAAGTTCGGGAAGGGGTTGGAATTTTAAGAATCTGTGCCAGGTGACAGAAACCTACCTCAGGCAGACCCTAGAAAGGCAGGATGTGGAACTAACTGGCCTTCCTAGAGACTTACTTCGCTGCTCAATTACACACCTCTTCTGAAATCACTGTGGCACCACGGGCATCCAGGAGTGCCATGGGCTGGGGGAGGGGCACAGGTTGGCTAACACATTGAAGGTGGAACCTCCTGTGGGGGATTTTTTTCTTTCTTCCTTTCATTCTTTTCTTTTTAAATGCATGGTCTTTTATTCCTTGGGCAAATGAGATGGTTGGTACATAGGAAAGCGTTTGGAATTGTAAAGGGAATATGCAAATGTAAGGTGACATTCTTATTGCTACCATTGTTATTGGTGAGAACCAATAAAAGGCCTGTCTAGAATGAAGTCCCAGAGCTTTGGGGATGGGGTGGGGGAAGGAGTGGGCTGGGGGCAGATGGGGGTGGGGAGGGTGAAAGCTGAGGAGACGGGAGGGGAGCAGGGCTGGCATACCTTGGCTTTGTGTGTGTGTGTATAAGGGAGGGAGGGAGAGAGGGAGCGTGTGAGCACACAGAGCACCTTGTAATTTCTGGTGCATTCCTCTACCACCTGTAAAATGATCCACTTAATATTTTTCTTTAAAAGGGCTCCTATTTCTTTTCATTAAAGGGCTGTGTTTACAAAGGTAACTTTATACACCAGTTGTAAATGACAAACCCCCGCATCGTTTTCAGAAGGGAAGGTACCCCATAAAAACAAATGTGAAAATCCGTACCGTGTTATGCAGTTCTGGCTTGGATTCCTTTGCCTCCTGGGCCTGGAACACTGTCCCCGCCGCCTCAACCTGGCTCAGCTCTGTCTGTCACTCAGGCGGCTGCTGTTCCAATGGCTTCTCCTTTGGAGGCTCTAACGGCTCCAGTGTTGGCCTCCGGCCTGGTCCTTGTTATCTGTCTCTTATTGCACTGTAGCTTCCTGAGGGCTGTGGGTTCACATTCCTGGAGTGTGTCTGGGCAGGGTGTCATCCGTCCGTCCGTCCGCGTTCTTCACCAGCCTCCCGGCCTAGCTCTGTAGCGGCTGCATGAGGAGCTAAGAGCTCCGAGCTGCTGGGCGGTTCTCTCCTTTGCTTTTAGTTGCTCTCTTTTAGCAAGGGTCAGCAGAGTGTAAAGACACAACAGGCTGGTGCCAAGCTGCTGCACCTTGTATAATCAAGACGTCTGAAAAAAGAAAAAAGACTGGATTGGAGAAGGATACAGACTGCAAGGGTAGCATCTCAAAGTTCCCCAGGCTTCCCTGGGGGTCCCAGACCTACAACTTGCCTATCCCCAGAGCATCCCTTAAGCTCACCAACGCAGAGTAAGGGAGCAAGAATCCCATGAGCAACTCTGAGCGTGGACCAAGCCGGCTTCTGGCAGATGTACCTGGTGGTTAGAAGTGGTCAAGTCTGGAAGGGGTTTAGTGAACTGCCTGCTTGCTGGGTGCCCCCGCTTCCTCCCAGGCTCAACTTTTAAAGCAATACCGTTTCCCCCGTCTCAAGTACCCAGTTTGTACCAGCCATCTTGATTGAAAAACAGCAGCCAAAGAGGCTACACCTTTGTCATGTTTTTTCATCCTTGCGATTTTAGGAAGTAGGAATTTCCAAGTCCCATTTTAGAGATGGGAACTGAGGCTTACGGTAGTTTGATGATTTGCTTAAAGTGACAAAAATCTAGCTTTTAGCATTTCAAAGTCTAGGTTCTTGGGTCATCACATGTAACAGCTATTAAACGTCACTGTCTACACACAGGCAAGTCTGGCCTACAGTTCAAAGGCTACATGCACTCCAAGGCCCACAAAGTTATGAACTTACTTAAAACACGATGCCCCGCGCTGCGCCCCCCCCCCCCCCCCCCCCCGGTCTCTTTTGTAACTTGGTTGCACAGATTTCGAGCCTGAACTTCATGGATGATAAAATGTCAAGGGGTTGGATGTACCTGTCTTCTTGCTTAGCAGTTTTTATGTATTCATGACCCTGTAATGTTACCTCTAGTGACATTAGCTTCCAACTCCAGGGATGTGCGCGTACACGGTGTGTGTATATGGGGCCAGGCGTGTGCACAGGGTGTGTGTACGGAGGGCAGATATTTCTCAGAACTTGTTGCTAACTCTAAGACTTGTTCCTCTCCAGGGTCCAGTGGCATGCCTGGTGCTGGTGCCTGTTTGTAAGGAAGGGACGAAGCTTAGGTTTCCTCTCAGCCTCTACTTCCATGGAGTCAACTAGGCGGCAGCGTGCTGTTCCGTTTCCAGAGAATTCCCCACATCAGAGTCGCAGGCTCCTCCTGGGACAATCTGTGGTCGGATATGTTGGGGGCTGAAGGGACTCTCAGGTGTCCTATGAGGGTTGGTATGCAGAATACCCTGGAGGAAAGCAGGGAGAAGATTTCAGGGGGACCCCAGAACTTTAGCGTCAATGCTGTGCTGCTCTTTGTCTGTTTTTTGTTTGTTTGCTTGCTTTTTGTTTTCTTTTGTTTTGTTTTGTTTTTCTGATCCACGGTCTGCCCATTCTATCCAGCTTTCTGTCCCCCAGAAAAATCAAAGGGTGATGCTGGAGTGCTTGGTCCATTTGCCCTTGGGCAGAACCAGAGCAGCTTCTGTGATAGGAGCCCTGACTTCGGCCCCATCTTGGTAGAAGCTTTTGACCTCATCTTTGTGTAGGGTTCCTTCCTGTCGTCCAAATTTGAATGCACCTTCTGTTCCTCCGGGGACTCAGTCAGATGGTGTCAAGTACCCTTCTGTATCTTGTAGGCCATCCCCTGAAGTCAGGGTCTATGTTTCTCCACGTCAGTATGTATCCCACCCCCTGCACAGTACTCAGGATCTGCCTCTGACACTTAGGAGGCACTTTCTACGTGTCAATAATCGCTACCTGCATCAACTCCGTGAACCCCCATGACGGTCCTGTGATCATTATCCCCTTGGAGACGTAAGGGCGCAGAGCATCACAGAGGTTGCGTAGCTTGCCCCAGGTCACACAGTCAGCACGTGGCAGGTCTGGGATTCCATCCCAGGCATCGTGACTCCTGAGTCAACAATCTTAGGACTACTTCTTGGCCCGCCTTTCCATGTGTTGTTCTGGAGGTGATGTTTCTTAGCCAGGGCACCAAAAGAACCTGCTTGCCAACTCAAGGGGCAGAAGGTGGAATGCTGGTCACCATGGTAACTGAATCAACGGGCCGCACCAGCTGCTGATCCCTTGGGGCAGAAGTTTCTGCTGCTGGCGCGAGGAGGCTGGGTTGGCATGGGGCAGTGTCTGAGGCACCAGATGCAGTGGGAGGATCTGGAAGAGTACCAGGTGGGTCGTCAGGTTACAGATTTGGGACAGAACTAGGGGCTTCCCGGGGCAGGTGGGACAAAGAGAAGAACTCTTGCCTAAAGCTCTGGAGCGTCGTGGGCTGGCAATGATGTTTCTTGCCTCTGCTGAACTTGTAGCCTTGTGATTCGGACCGGCACTTTCGACCTCCTCACCCCCATCCCCTGTCCTAGAGCCCAGGGATTTGCTTGGTTCTGATTGGCTCTCCCAGTTGGGGTTACTTTGCCTTTTTCTCCTGTGACATGGCAAGGAGGATATGGTACCACTTTGCCTTGGCTACCACCACCGCCTGCTCCTGGGGCCTACGGTGCCTTCATTTCTTCAACAGTACAATGAGAGAATGCCTCCCCTCTCCTGAGGCTCCACGCTCTTCCATGGGGCCAGGGTGGGACGGGATTGAGTGGCAGGTCATCTCTCTGATTTGTTGCAGGCTCTGACCTTCCTGACGAGAAATGAGATTCTGTGGTGAGTAGAGAGGCCCGGGTCCTCCTTCCCCTTCTCTTGAGCAGGGGTGGAGGGGTGGGGGGGTTCTTTTTCTGTTATGGCTTCCCTCTGGCCCTAGGGTGTGACCCCCTGCTCAGAACCACACAGCCATGAGGCAGCATCTGGGATGGACAGGAAGTTGTGAGATTCCCCTAGAGTAGAAAGACACACATACCAAATCTGGGCTGCGATGTGGTTACTACCACCGAAGGCAGAGATTCTTCATAGCTGCTGGGAGTCCTTGGGCAGTGAGGAAAATGAAGACAGGCTTAGACAGTGTAGGGTGAGCTTAGTCGGGCTATTCGCTGGTTCGATGAACTTGGAAGCACCGTGGACACTCAGTCTGCTACCTGTCCCCTCCCCTTCTTGCCCTCCACCCCCCAAGACTCCTTCCAGGGCCATCTCTGTGCCAGATACAAGGGAAGAAGCAATGTGTTCCTCAAGCAGGACCCTGCCCCGTGGGAAAGCTCTTGGCCAAAGACCTCATCATCCAGAATGGAGATGTGACAAATGGCTTCATAGGGCATGACTAGGGTAGATATATTTGGTTAGAGCCAGGTGCTCAACAAGCCTGTGTGGTGTGCAAGCCTGTGTGGTGTGCAAGCCTGTGTGGTGTGCAAATGAGCTTTCCAGGACTCTCTCAGGGGAAGTCAATGAAGATGGGAATGAGGACACCGCTTAGACACTGTCCGGGACACACACATACACACCCCTTAACCTCATTGGCTCTTCTTGGACTGACCCTCCCTAAGCACCACACCCAGCCTGAAGGCCACAAACATTAGACTCTCCAGACACAATAGGATAACCAAGTGACAAAGAGCTATGGATATCAGGGACAATCTTGAGGCTGTGTTACTTTTCCTTTTAAAAATACTATTGATTTACTTTTTTTTTTCCTATACTGAGAATCAAAGCTAGGGCTTGATACACGCACGTCACGACTGAGTCACTCTGTGAACTCACTGTTTTACATAGAGAAGAAAAAATGGCAAAACTCCAGATGAGCCGTATCCTACTACTCACCTGATCCCCATTGATATTTTCTAAGAAGCGATGTATGCATAAAAACTAAAACAAGAGGAAATGAAACACCGTTTAAATATGGCTAGAAAATTTAAATAGGACCCAAGTTCTAAGTGAGACGCGAAGGTCTCCATTCTCTCCTGTGGGCCCTTCCTCTTGACTCAGGCCCCTGCTCACTGTCAGTTTATCATCCAGACATCCCAAGAGCATTGAACACGCACAGACCTTTGCGAATCTCTCAGCCATTCACATCACTGCTTCCTATGCCTGAATCATCCCCTCACCCGCTTTGTTCTGTACCTTTGTCTTTTTTTTTTTTTTTTTTTGAAGTTGTCCTCTTCGACAGTTTTACAGGAAGCATATAGAACCACCCATCCTTCCTCAATGGCTCTGAATCTTTCCCTTGCTTTGATGGACTGTAATTCAATACCAGACCCCGTTATGGAGACTTAGCCTGTGGGGTGGTTTGTGATGGTGGTGGTGAGGACCTGGGGAGAGAGACTATGGAGGGCACCCTTGTTTTCCTTCTTGAAGATTCTTCCCCTTGTTTTCCTTTGTTTTTTGTTGGCCTCCTGCGAATGAGGTCCTTTGGAAGGAGGCCGTCCTCAAGGGTCCCTTCCCATCTGACCTGACCACCCAGGTCTTCAGGTGGCCCCTGCTCACATCCTCTTTCCAGCCTGCTCCCATCCCCATCAAAGGCAGCTATTATGGTTTGAATGTAAATGTGCCAGCAGGCTCGTGTGTTTGAACACTTCATCTCCCGCTGGTGGCACTATTTTGGGAGGTTATGGAACCTTTAGGATGCGGGGCCTGGCTGGCAAATGTAGGGCTGCAGAAGCCGATCCGGAGGGTTATGGAAACTTCTGCTCCCAGACTGTTTGCTTCTTGTTCCACTAGGGATTTAACAGGCCAGCCCCAGCCCCTAAGTCCCCAGAGCTACAGGCCCGGCATCCCAGCCGCCAGCCCCAGCCGCCATACTTTTCTCCATCGTGAAGGGCTGTATCCCTTCCAACCGTGAACCAAATAAACCCCCAGAGGTTATTTCTGTTAGGTATTCTATCAGAGCAAGCAGAAAAGTAACTAATACCGTGTCCTTATGTAATAGCCCTGGCAGAAATGAAGATATTCTAATGAGACACTGTATCTCTCAGTCTATCAGATGATTCAAACAATGGATCCCAAAGAAATGGGAATTTCCCCAGGAATCTCATGCCGGGAGAAGGAAAAGGTGCCAGCCACAGGGGGAACTTGTCCCCCTGAAAGAGGTTTCACACAGTTCTACCCACTTGTCAATTCACCTTCCAGAATAAGACTGGAGCTCAGATAATGATGGATCAGTTGTGGATGGGACCACACCTTGACCTGTACTGCTTAGGTGTTTTTATGTGCACATCCTTGGCTCTCTTTGCTGAAGATGGCTTGGAGAATCTCTGGCTCCCTCTGTCCCTCTTCCCAATGTGGCCACGTTGAATAAATCGTTTTTCTGCTGTCCGATATTAATGTGGCTCTTTTAATTGGCTTATGAAGGACAGGTGGCCAAACCTAGCTTGGGACACACACAGTCTGTGTGACCCCCCTTCCCCTCCAAGTCTGATAACACTTCCCCTGGAAAAGGTGCAGCTTTAACTGTCCAGATGTTGCGAAGGAAAGCTCTGCAGATGCCCAAACCTGCCCCGCAAACTTCTCCGGAAGCTCTTCCTGGCTCACTCTGGCTGATGGCTTCATTCCGGAGCACAAGGCACCCATGCCTCACTGGGTAGCTCTTGCAAGGAAGCTTCTACCTTTGGGGCCCTGGAGCAGAGGCGTGGGTCAGTGTCGGATAGGGGTCGTCCTGCCTAATGAAGATACAGTGGAGGATGTGGTGCTCGACCCCTACTCTACATCTGTCTCCACATTGCACACCTTCAAGATGCACAAGCGCTAGGGGACAGGAACTCCAAGATGGCGGGATGCTGCTGCAGAGAGTCCTGCTCCTTCCATAAAGGTGACACCCCAGCTCAAGAGCACCACAGCCTGAGGAGCAGTTGAAGACATGGACAAGGGCCTCAGCTGATCAAGGTGCTCAACTGCTGTGGGTCTCTGCTGAAAGAGAGACTTTGACTTGGTATTCCTACTTGCATCATGACGGACGGCCCAGGAAACACAGGTGCTGATTCACCCACCGGTGGGATGCTGTCTTGAGTGCGGGAACTTTCACGGAGAATCTTAGAAGTTTAACGTTCAAGACGATAAGATTAAATTAGGAAAGCAAAGGGCATGGAACTTCCAGTTAATATGGAAAACGGAGTATCACCCAAGTCCGTTCTCATTACCAAAAGGCTTGTTTTTAGAAGAAGGAGTAAACCTGTAAGCACAAAAAGAAAAAAAAAAAACATAGACAAAGAAGGCCAACAGAAATATGAGAAGTACCAAGTAGATTGCCCCCCAAACAGATTCAGCTGAAAGAAGCTGATCCGCAGGACCTGGAGTAAGGGAATCGAATCCCAGAAAGACCGAGGGAGCTCAGAAAGCCATGGTGCAGAGTCAGGTAAGAGCAGGAAGGGAAACTGAGGGTATCAGGCCAGTCTACCTCTGGCTCTGTGATCCACTTGGTAGTCCTGCCCCGCTGCAATGGAGGATGAGCTCACCATCTGGATAAGAGCTGTACCCAGGCTGGGGCCACCAGAAGTGGTGAAGAGCAAGAGGATCTTCCACTCAACCTTCAAAGCCTTGCTGGAAGTCTGACTTGAAGGCCAAGGACCTCTACATGTCAAGAGTAAACAAAAGAGCCTGCATGTAGCATCCTGCCATCATGACATTTCAGAATGCCGAGATAATGGGGAGGAAAAGAAGACTTCCATAATAGTGGGTATGGAATCAGAACAGCTTGGGGCTTGCACTGGAAGACACATGTCCTTCAAAATTCTTAGGGGAAAAATTTCAATCTAGAACGAAGTTCCTGGATAAACTATCTATCAGAAATGTAAGTGGGGTAACAATATCTTTTTTTACATGCAATTAAAAAATATTTGAGACAGCTTTTTGAGGATTTGCTACACTAAAATTAGTCATCAAACTCAAAGAAAGATACAGAACCCATGGAAGAAAGGATTTTACCATAAAGGATGGGGAAATTAACTACAAGGATGGAGACAAGGAGGAAAGCTTGAGCAGGACGATGGCCACAGGCCTGGAAAGCAATCAGTTCTTTACAGCGCTCTCCTCGGAAGTTTGGCGGATGAGCTCACAATAGGTGCACTACAATCTGAGAAAAAGAAAGCAAAGCAACAGTTAACTCCGGGAAAAACAAAAGGCGTTGTAAGAAAGGAAATGTAA